ACCTTATCGCAAAATCCTCTCCTCCTCTAATCGGAATTTTGGGATTAGTTTGATATTTCATTTAGTTCCATCAACAGCCTAGGCACTTTTCGGATTAGGCGCAGTTTCAAATTAAATAAAAAATCCGGAATTAAAATCAAGTTTTCTAATATTTCATTATTTCACTGTTTCAGTGCAGGCCTATTCTGTTCAAAATGAGCTTATTACCATTTCAGCTTCTTAAAGGAGCAATAAAAGCTCGTATCTCACACTCGATCTCATTCTGGTTCGTAATCGCATACACCTTTAATCTGGCCACCTATTTTGCTACATTCCTCTACGTTTGGCTGCCGACTTTTTTCAGTTATGATGATTATCACGAGGAAGTTAAGGTACTCTTCAATATTTCATTTTTTTCGTTTATGCATTAGCCTGAGGAGGTGGGGGGGGGCTGTTCGTTACTTGATCGGGTTTATCTCTTTGAGGTCTGACCCTTCCCCGTGTTGCTCCGTCTCAAGGCTTTCTCGTTTTGTAGCTACTAGGATAGAAATTTTCTATATGGGACATTGCTTCCATTTTTCCTGTATTCCATCAGTTCTACCGCGAAAGAAAAATCCTCGCATGCATGGCTTACTCGAGTGAGCTTCGCTCTCCCTTCTCTTTCAATTCTGCAGAAAAAAAACTCGTGTATCTTTTAGCTGAATTCGCCATTCAGGCATTTCCAGCTATTGCTTTGATTTAACCCCAAATTTCAGAAAGTTGTCCTTTGGTTTCTTCCTATTGTGGCCATCATTTCCGCATGGGTAAATTTCCTCTACATACTAAGGAAATCCCCTTACGGCATCTACATATTTATGATGGTCCGCATACTGCGTTCGTTTGGACACGTGAGTTCTCAAACTATAAAAACTACTTGGGCAAGAAATACGGCCTACATATGTCTAGATCGCCACCATCTGGATTCCCACGTTAGTCGCGTTCTCGTTTGCGTTCCATCTGATCATGAGAGATTCGGGCACAGAGCCATGGGAGAGCCTGAAGACTGTGAGTTGAATGTGCAGTTTTCTTCAATACATGGTAGAACACTTTCAATGGTGTTCTGCTTCTAGGATGACAACGCCACGGTACTGGAGAAACTGTTCATCATACTTCAAGCGATCACCAAAACATCAACTATGATGATCGGCGAGGTGGATGCAAATGACATTCTTGGTTCGTGGACCTTTTTTTTCATGAAAGACTGACTAAAAATTTGCAGTATATCTGACAGATCCGAGAAGCCCCATTGCTTTGATGCAGTCCCTGAAAATAAGCCCGACTCACGTAAACAAGCCTTCCGCACTAATGGGGTCCATCACCTTTAGCGAGGCCTACCCGAGGCGATCAAAACCCTAATTTGATCATAGACTCGTGTTTACCACGTCCTTTTTTGAATAGCTCCAAGCTGAGCTGCGTTCTGTCAGTAAAGACAGATGCATGGCGCATTCTGGTGGTGCCATTTAATTGCCAGCGTACACGTCACTCTTTTATTTCGTTATCAAAAACCTTGAACCACTGCATTTCGGTTTCCAATTAGGTGGGCTGGGGGGATGAATAAGGGGATTGATTTTAATTCGGGTAAGTGGAATTAACTTAAATGAGGGACTGTCGCAGATTCTGAATGCATGCTATCGTTTGTCATTAGAGCTAGGATAAGTCGTTTTAAGATTAGAACATTTCATATTTCATTACACACCCCTTAATAATAATGAATAGATGTCAAATGCATGGCACAGTCTGCAGGATATCGTACTTCAACGGAGACATAGACAGTTATGTGGGATAGACCCACCCCCTACTAGTTACCTCACTGTTCGTTTGGAGTGTGTTTGAAGGTGTTATGGGCCTTTAAATCTTTTCCAGAATCTTAACACCACCACCCGATAACTCTATCGAGTATGCCCGAATTCGCCATGAACGAATATCACCCGGTAACATTCTCCTATTCATTGAACTATGATAACGTATAACTTCGTATAATGTATGTCATACGACATCAGTATATTAACGGCGAGAAGAGGAAGCCTCGAAGAAGTACTCAAGCGCTGGCTTCATTTCCCAGCCGCCGCACTGTCAATTCCAATTAGAGCGGCTGCGATGTGAGTGGCGGCTGAGCCCGCGCGGCTTATGAAATTTTGCCAATAAGTCGACGGGAAGGCGTCTCACAGACCATTTCGGAATGGCGGCATAAGTCAGGTTCATTGATCCAATTGCTTTCATTGATCCCATAAGATAGTCGTCAGACTCAATGGGAATCTTCGAAGTGACAGCACTTCCACGAGGGGTACTGTCATCAAACCTTCGACTAGATGTGAATCTGAAACGTTCGTTGTTCGCTAAAACGCTTCTCACTGGTCTGACTAAGAAAAAACGGCGGTGAAATAAAAATGTCTATAAAAGCGGTAATGAAAAATTTAAATCCTTCTTCGAGTTATGGATGAAAGGTTTCTGTGTTCCAAGCCAATATATGGCACATTGTTACCTGAACGATAACCACGTTGATTAACATTACACTCTGCATGAAAAATGACATTGAGTGGATTTGATGTACTGTTGGAATGCGCCACATACACGCGCCTCATTAGGAACCGTGGACTTAATGGCACCCGTGTCCTCTCCACAATAGCTTTCTGGGACGATCAATAATGCCCCATTTTTTTGGACCTGTTTTTTGTGGAGTTTCTTGAGACAAACGTGTGAATAATGGTCATAACGACAAGTACATCATCATATCGATCCATTGCTTCACTGCGCTGCTGAGGTCAATATTATAGTCTTGGCATATTGGGTTACATGTAGTGATTTCTATGGTCTACATATTGTAATTATTTTCATGTGTAATAGTATTGATTTTTAATGGAATGGTGTTAGATGATAAGTAGCTGTAGTCGTCCAAGATTAGATAAGTTTATTGGCTAAATATCATATGGCGGTGTTGACCTAGGTAGGCGTGAGTCAGTATGTCTAAAAGATTGGTACTATTTGGTAGTTACTCTAAAACGCCTCCTCATCGAAATATCTGGAGGTAATTATTTGGAGGCTTCTGAGAGGAAAAGTCACATTTGTTTTTGACTTTTTCAGGCTCTGACGAAGGCGAAGAAGCCGAAACGTTAGCCTAATAAAGTTACCTAATCTTGGACGGCTACAGTCAAGTACTCATCTGATCCAACAATGCCAAGATTAAAAGAAAGTCGATCCTTGACAGATATGACTATTGTAAGCAGTAGAGCGCTCAAGGGTGATGGAGGTGTGATGTGATTAGCAAATAGCACCTGTATCTGGAATGCTCCCGACGACTGTCCTAATTCGTTGTCAAAAATCTTGCGGGTCCTCACTACATAGTTTTCCCCTGTTTTGTCTAATATCTCGATCAGAGTTACCGAGAATCTGAGCTGTTCGATTATTAAGGAATATGAAATTCCAATGTATTCCGTATATCAAAAAAAAATCCGAATTAATTAGAACAACTCAAATAAATCAGTTCAAGGAACCCTACACTGTGCTAATGCCCAATCAAGTGTTAATAGAGGTAGGGGCGCAGGCGCAGCAGCGTTCAACGGTGGTTTACAGACAGAAAACTAATGAGAAACGTCTGGACCATGGTAGAGCTTCCCCTGCTGCCGCTCGCTCATGCTTTGCCCGAACATTCCGCCTATAACCTTCTCCTCTTTGACGTACCCAACACAACTCTACCTCTTACGTACGCCAAGCAGCCTCACGACTGACATATTGAGGTTTTGTTGATAGGATTGAGATCTACCTTTCATAAGAAAGTGGCTATTCTAAAAAAAGGCTTCCATAAAAATGTATCTTTCAGGCACCCGTCAATGGATTCCCAGCATTCTGGTGCTCGTCTTCGAAATCATCACCGTAATCCTGCTCATGAACCTCATGGTAGGTGATGTTCTTATTTCGAAATAGGGATTCTAAAGTTCTGCTCCCTCTCGTTCTCCCGAAAAATCGATTGTTCAATTGTTACATCTCAAATGCACGCATACTCTTATCAGCAGTTTCTAATATTTTCAAAAAAAAAACAAGCTGATGTACTAGTACTGTGAGGCTTTTTTGCGAGAGCTTAATAAACACTAGATGAACACAGAGTTCTCTTACTTACAAAAAGCAGCTTGCGGAGGGAAACGGTAGCTGCACGCTATCGATTCTCGGCTGACTCATTCTGACGCTTCTCGAAAATCAGCGCCAACGAGAGCAGCACCCTATGACTCACTCAGTTCTCTCAGTGAGTACGGTAGACGCCCCGTTGAGCGCTTCTTCAGCGAGTTTTATGTCGTCAACGCGTGGGTCGGGGACAAGAGAAAGTGGCACAAAACCCGTCTCCGATTGTTATTCTCGATGCTAGGAATATTCAGCGGAAGATTTATGGTTTTTCAGGTTTCGCTTCGCTGTGGAGACATAGATTAAGAATACTGCACAGGATAAGACTCGAAACTCAACGGCAGGTATCTCTTCATTTCACCCTGGAACGGATAAAAGCTTCGAGTACATCATAAGATACATAAAATTGAAAAAAAAAACCTACAGAGAAACCGACAATTTTATAAATACTGGGGAACCAAAGTGATAGAACAGTGTCTCTCAATGTCCACTGACTTATTAAGAAGCGTTTCAGAAGGATAAGGGTTCAGATTCCACAACTAGTTCTTCTGGACTACTTTAGCATCGAAATTGCTCTCTGTTTTGAAATGTTCTTTTTGTTTACAATGCTAAGATTTCTCGCCCAAAAATCTTTTGTTAGTTAATCAAATGGAAGTCAGTCAATTCTTGAAGTTAAAACTACATCAAATCTATGATCAAAATAAGCTCACGACCAGGTCCAATTGCCTCATCGAGCGCGCAAAGTGCAAAAAGGACTACAAAATCGTCGCATTTCCCTACATTCTTAGATAACCTCACTACATTGCAGCATACTCAGCCACTCTGATTGTGAGCAAAATTATCAAAATGTCACTCACTCTAGTGTAAGAAGAGGAACAGATGTATAAAAAAGAAATTGCGGGCAATTTTTTTCATACACGTTGCCAGAAATTTCTTAAGTTAGCTTATGAGCAACATCCAAGAAGATTGCGACATATCTTCAAGTAAATCCAAATTCTGAATCGTAAACGTTCCATGATTTTAGATGCGTTCTCGCATCAGCCACCGCTTGATCATTTTGTCAGCAGAACTTATATTACCTAACCTGTGTTCCTGATCTTTCGAACCCTCAGTATTAAACTCGCTATTTTTGTCTGTTCATACTCACATTTCTGAAAAAACCGTCTCGAATAGTGACGCGATTCCGACAATCCCTACAATACAGCGCAATTGGCAGTGAATCTAAGACATAGAACTCAAACTCAATGATTCAACAAATATCATAATATTCGGGCTTCATCTTGTAGGATTTAAACTTTTTCCAACTAACTGCATAACTAGCAGACTGACGAGATTGTTATCATCCACAGAATACTGGGAGGTTGCTGTGTGATATTGAGGCTACTCTCGAATCGGTTCTACGCGGTAGTGATGGAAGCGTCCCGCTCGCTATAGAAAAAAAAAAAAAAAAAAAGGGGGACGTGCAGAGGGCGAGACCATTTCCATCGATATCCGCAGTGAAAAACGCCACGCTTCGAACGCTTAACGTCGATTAAAACGAGGTCTTTCAGGACAATTACGCTTTTCATAAGCGATTCTGCATATGGTAGGGACCATTAGGATAAAAAACCAGTTTCCTGCCTGTACGGTCCTAGCAAACCAAATAAACAAAGCCTATGTCTGTCCAATGGTTTCGATCCTCGTGTCGGACCAAATTTGCTTGCTTTGCACATAGGTTTGCCAAATTGCGTTAATGTGTCAAATCAGATCCTCTCTGTCAGACGTTTGGAAGCAAAAAGTGCACTAATCTGGCTTGAAATTAGCGCCCGGTGGACCGACCATTGAGGTACACTCACCACTTTTTTATGATACAATAAAACGTCAGCGAAAACAAACATGTTGTGTCCATATATGTTCCTAAATCTGCAGAAACGTTTACAAAAGCCGCTGCCTGAAACCCCCCTTGGACCTCTACTCTTGACCAGACGATCCGTTCCGTTGACCAACTCTCCTGAAGCCACGCCTCCATCTGTTACTAGCAATGCCCAATAGATCACCCTTCGGTACATGTGCAAAGTAATCCTAGTGGCGGCGCCATACAGGCTTCAAGCCTCGTCTATCGTACACCGCTGCTCAAGAACTGACCTCTCCAAGAAAAGCCCTTCACGATCCAAACTTAATGTTCTTAGAAACACCCTTGTCTGCAGAATCTCAGACCATTAATCTGGTCAATCGAAGTTATACGAGGGTGAATTAGATGGCCAAACATCTTGTGACCAGTAACCTGGAAAATGGCGGTCACAGAACTCCAGCGTAGATTTTGCGGCATGGCAGGCGCCTAGTCTTGCTGAAGAATGCAGTGACGTTCGCTGAAGGTCGAAAGTCCATGGAAGGAGCACATCACGTAAAATTGTTTCCTGGTAGATCTGGGCGTTAATTTTGACGGATTTGTCCACAAAGACAAGCGGTGTCTTGGTTTCGAAGTAATTCCTGCCCAAACCATGACAGATTTTGGAAATCGGCTCCTTGTGTGCACACGACGTCGAGCAGAATGTCTGCTAGCCGGATCCAACAATTGCCTGTCGTTTTGAGAATTGCGCGCCACTTCCATGTGAACATCTTGATGTCCGTCCACACGAATCTGACAGGTGGCCCTGCCGAATGTGTTTCAGCAAAATCTGGCCTTCTCCAACCTATTCTTCATAGCAGATTCTGTGAGGCTATGGCCTTGATAAACTCAATAACTACAGAGGTGGAGACCCCTTCTGAACGATTACCTAAACAGTTCTATGTGTAATTGCAAGATTCTTAGCAATTTCGTTGGGGCTCACTTCACCGTTGCGAACAGTTCTCTTCTTGATGATCTTGCGTATCCGCGGGGTGTTCTTAGTACGTGATCTCCCCAACCTTTTCCTTAGCACTATGGTACCATTCTCGTGGTATTGGTTGACTACTCGCTGAACGCTTTTGAAGGGCATCAAGGTTGTCGAGCAATCTCTGACGCTGATAGACCACTGCTCGCAAGATAAGCAATTGTTGAACGGTGGGAAGGAACCTTCATTGTTGAAGACGACCGGAAGAGATGTAAGCAAAAAGATAAAACGAAGGCTATAGTTACTATACTACCACACAGTTTTGATTCTGTCACTGATAGATAATCTGAAATGGATTTTTGAAGTGTGCCAATGTTCAGTACCCACCCTGTTCACCTTGTTCACCCTGACTCCAGTCTGGGTGCTAGTGCAAGAAATTTGAATAGGAGTCGGATAGAATGTGTTGGTTATAGGACACCCACCGGTCCTCATCGGAAAATACATATATTTCGAATGAGCTTATTCTTATACCTGACAGTGCGCAGTGGAATGCCTTCCCAACTCCAAAAAAAGAAACCTTTTCACTATTCATGGTTTATTGAGCTAAAATTTCTTTTTCAGGTGAATTTTGTGATCGAAGCACTACAGCTGAGCGAGCATGTGGGTGTCGGTGGCTTACCGCTAACTCCACTTCATAAACGGGTCACCAATAACGTCTTGGTGGTGAACAGCGATGGCAGCTACTTTACGGTTTACGACGAGACA